ATCCACTAGCTGCCATTATGGTGGAGCTGCTAAAGTATGGATTTACTAAGCCTAATCAAACTTCTAACATGAACACTAGAGAAGAACCAGAAGAACCAGAAACACAAACAGACCATGAAAAAACAGCAATGAAAATTTCAGAGTGAATAGAAGCGGGCATTTAAATGGCCAAAATATAAGACATGTAATGATGTAAGGTGCTGCAGTGTACACAGGACAATGTTAGGAGGGAGGCAAAGAGTGTGTTGGGGGGGGGGTGTGAGACAGTGGATATGTGGTGTACCATATGTTTTCAAAGAGCTTGTTTTCAATTTAAATAATTAAAAATCAAAATTAAAACTGAACATAGTGATGTGTAAATCATCTGTGTCCTGTTTTACATTGTAAACAATACAGGTGCACATTATTTAAAGTGATACCTCATCAATTTTATTCTTTGTTCAAAATAAACACTCACTTCAAATCTGATGCCTGCAACACATTCCAAAAAAAGTTGGTACACTAAAGCTTTTAACGAGGTTTAATGTTGCTGTTCCTTTTCTCAACACTGAAAAGACATTTAGTGACTGAGGACGCCAAGTGATTAAGTGTGTCAGGTGTAATTTTGTCCCATTCTTCTTGCAAACAAGTCTTAAGGTGCGCAACAGTCCTGGGTCTTCGTTGACACAATGTGTGTCTTTTGGAAGGGTAGGGTGAAGTGGTAGAGCTACACAGTCCTTCAAACAGAGGGTTTTCAGAGGGAGACTCAAAACTGAGTGGAATGACACTAACTACAACAAATGCTAACTGTCGATGCTACATACCTCATATAAATCCACCTACATTCCCTGGTGTCAAAAATATATTCCCATCCTTCCATTTTGTTATTTGCTGTTTAAAATCGCAAACCAATGCTTCAAGACCATGCAAGCGAAATCACCACAGACAGAAGACGGCATAGGGTGGATCAGAATTTCTGACAACAACACGTTACATTTGTTTAACCATCGTCATTAACTATCGATGAGGTATAGAGGTCTCGAAGTGTTGTCCCATTTCAACCACTACTCCTTGTGACTCCATTTTGAAGGTTAACTTAAAAACAAGGGGTGGGGGTAAAAAAATAGTAAATTTCGGCATTTAACATTTTAGTGATATTGACTAGGGGTATACCCAGGGGTGTACCCAGATTTGCCGAATACAAAATGTTTTAAAATGTTAATGCAAAACAATTCAAAACCATCCCAAAGTTTTGACACACCAAATTGTATGAGCTAGTTTTCACAGAATCTAGACTACATTTCTAATGGCTAGAGACCCAGAAAAGCTCTCTTAGGCTAAATAATAAAATGCAGATGGACCCAATACATCTAAGAGGTCTTCCTACTTAAATGAAAACCAGACAGAACCGATTAACCTAACACTTGACCTTTCAATGTCATCCATTTTCACTACTTCACTCAGCAGCATTAACATAACTTTGAAGTAAAAACAAAATAATCCTACAAGGAACAGATAAAATTAGGCCCCACATGGTCATGTAGGCCATTTTTAGGCCCTGTGTCTGTTTCCACTTTCCCTATTGCAGGGGTGCCCTGTAAAGCATCAGTGTAAATGGTTTATAATGCCACAAGTAGACTCTAAAATGGGAGACCTGGTTTCAATCAGCAGTCAAATTGCTCCTACATTACCCTCGCAGATGGCGTAGTAAATCACTTTGCTTCTGAGTTGCTGATGTTAAGGAGCAAGCATTTTTTAAAAATCCACCAAGTGTGCTCCTAAGTGCACCCCATCTCTATGTGGGGATGGGATGCTAAACAGGACAACAGCAGACGTTTGAGGCGTCCTTATAGACACAAAAGTTAAATATCCTGTCTAAACAGAAAATCAGCACATTTCATATATACCGCTGCATCTTGAAACCTACAGTGACTGACCTAATCTGCAGCCTTGGATGTAAACTCTAGCTTTGCCAAACAAACCCATTGCAACCAGTTTGAACCAGTTTGCCTGGTTAAAAAAAGGGTCCTGGTTTGTCTGTGCCAACACCCTGACAGTGGGCCAGTGAGGCATCTAGGAGCAGTTATACTCCCCCTTAAACCCCAAAGAAAACGCTGATCCCACCCACCACAGACCAACAAACTACAGGCACAACCTCTCATTAGAACACCAGGGCCCTGAAATTACCAAGATTTTACCCATATGGAAAACATGAGAAAGCATCAGCTGGGAGAAGGTTGTTCCGAGTGTTTTTTCAGCATGTCACCACAGAAGGGCTGGAGCTCTTTAACCGTGCCATTCAGCCCAGCCCCTGCCAAGGCACACTGGCATATAAGGAAGCTGAGGCAGATGCTCTGGCTACTTGCCCCAGACCAGGCCTGCAAGGAAATACCCTCCACAACTACATACAAACGCTCACACGGGCAGGGCATGTAGCCAGGTCAACAAACACAAGAGATACAGCATATAGAGTCTTAGTAAATCCATTTTAAAGCAGAATTAGTGATTCAAATGCAAAGTGGAGCACTGGTTACTGGTGTCACTTAGCTGACAGGTCTTAAAGATATAGCACCAGACAACAACTAAGATTATGTTTTCTGGTGGCTTTTCTTATGTTTATTTACATCAGTATTGGCTGTAAAAATTGTCATTAAAGAGGTCTAGGCTGTATTTGGAATGTTAATCAGAAGAGAAATAAGCAAACTGTTGACTCTCCTCTAAGTCATCATTTATATGGTGAAAAAAAAAATCAGGCCTTACTGTAAATTTCACTTGGATTTCTGTTTTTGCCATAAGTCAAAGCACAGCACAAACATTACAGTTAAAGTGGTTGCAGAGTCAGTTATGATAGCTGATGACTTGCCCCCTTAGGATCAATAAAGTTGTCTGAGTCTGATGTTTGCTAATTGTCTCTATACAGCCTAGCTGTGGCCAGTATGTTTGCTTAGCAGATGACATCACCAGCTACAGTAAAGGCCTAGAGTATTTTCTCTCACAAGAAAATAACGCCAGCAGAAACACCAAATGAACTGCTGATTCTTTTGGCAAGAAACAAGGATGAAGCATGAAAGCAATGTAGTGATTCGTAGTGATGTGAACATAAAACAGGCCTGACAGCTTGTGGGAATGCGTCACTACTCAGCAATTAAACACTAGTGACAAAACCATGATGAAAAATATTCATGTAGTTCACAGAACATGTCAAAAAGTCGTGGTATACTGCTTTCACATTCGGCAAAGACAGATAATCAACAAGAAGATTAGCCAGAATAAACTCAGTGAGGAAGCTTTCCTACAACGTCTAGCCAATAAGATTGAAGAAAACCTTGATGCTTCAGCAGCTTGGTACCTAACAGAGCTGTCGACACAGGTTTTAGTGATAAAATGTCCATCCAACAGATAACCTCAGGTAACAGTGAATCCTAGATTCAAAATAGCACCTGCTTTGTAAAAAAAAAAAACAGATGGATACTGAAGCAATCAGTCTCTGCTAATTGGCATGTATTCTCCATGATGTTTTACAGTGGGCTGCTCATCTGAGGCCTCATGCAGTAGTACTGTGTGGGCTATAGCCTGCAGGGGAGTTTAATATAAAATTACCTTAAATCTAGAATATAAATACACCATGTCACTTTTCTTTTTAACTGGCAGGAGCTGAAGGTTAGGAACCCAAATATACAGCAGGGCCTAGGATTCAGTTGCAGAAAGCCTATGATGCAATTCCAAGAAATGAACCCACCCTAAAATCATCCAGTTACAGTTTGGCTCATGGTTAGGTCTCTTCATTGTGTTTATGACAGCTATAATTGGATTCATGTATTGATAAAGGACAGCCATAAGGCTACTTCCCCCTGAAAAATTGCTTCCTATTTTTTCTTTAAATAAGCCCAACAGGACTGCAGGGTTGATGCAATGCTGAGAATCTTTCTGGATATCCACCCAGTGAAAAACACTCCCCCATTTCAGATCTGTTTGAGACCTGAAGAGGGCTCTAGGCTACGATATGAAGTGGCACATCTCTAAAAGCTGTCATAAAAATGGCTTTACACTTGAATTATCCAACAGATGATTGTTGAAATCTGTGCTTTTGCTCCAGCTGCAAGTAGTGAACACATCACATCCAACCTGTCTCTAAAGCCTGTGCTGCAGCAGTAGTAATTTTTAAGGACAGATGAATGACACACACACACACACACACATGACAGGAGCATCTGCAACTGATGGACATAATGTCTCGGTCAATGATAAATAAAGAGTAGGCGCAGTCAGGCTCAGGCATGCTCACGAACTGTTTTGGAGAGAGCTGTGTCACCAACGGCAAACCCTTTAATGTAAGGTCAAAATGGGACCACATCATTACACTGCAATTAGACAAGAATAGGTGACGACAGGCTCACGCCCCATGGACCACCACTGCTCCTATTTATTATTTCATGGCTGATTCTCGACAGATTTTCTGCTTGAATGAAGCTTTCCTCCCTGCAAACACTAGAGCTGTGGCAATTTGCTTGCTGAAAAGTGCCTGCGCTCAGTTTATTGCCAACTCAGGTTTTGTATAGCCTGTTGAGAATCACTTGTTAAATGACTATAAGTAGCAAGGACCAATATTCCGTTTCTTCTTCACCCTGTCACCTTAATATCTGTGGCCACTTTTTAAACAGCAAAACCGAATATTTCCGTAAAGATCCTTTCAAGCAGCTTGTTGATTGTTTTCTCTAATTTGGCAGCAAAATAAAAGTTGTTGTTGGCCAAAACATTCAGAGTTCGCATAAATAAAAACAGCAACAAACTGCGTGCGTGGCGGAGCTGACTCCCGCAGACGGAGCTGACTTAGAATATTTAACCGTGGACGCTGCACCTTCACAAGCATTTCCCAAGTACTTTCAGTTCATGAAGCGGGTTGAACAAACAAATAAATGAACGCTGTTATCGCAGTTTCAGACAGTCCGCTAAGGGCAACGCTAAAAGCTGCGTCTCAAGTTCAGCGGGGGACATTCAAAAATAGATAATGGTGCACTTACTGAATCTCCTCTTTGTCACCGCCGTTGGCATTTCTCTCCCTCTGTGAACCGCTGACGTTAGTCCCGTCTTCAGGCTGTCGCGAGCACAAAAATCCACTTCATGTAATTACCAGCCACAAAACACAAGAGTTAGAACCAACCCGGAAAGTAAAGGAAAAGGGGGCAAAGATAGGAATCCAGTGCCAGAGGAGCACGCGGCTCTATCCGGGCTGCAGACCGGGGTCGTGGATACTGGATCTATTCGTGGCAGCGCGCGAGTCTCGCTGCTAACGGGTTAACGTCAGCTCAAGTGTTCACTGTCGCTCCCTGCACGCCACAAGACGACAAGAAACGTTATGTCTTCTCTTGCAAGTTAATTTCTCTCTTGCAAGTTGATTAGTAAGTCTCCATAGAAGGAGCTGTGGAAGGCAGGGGGTAGTTACGTCTCTCCAGTCACAGTCACGATTCTTTCCCTGCCTCGGTAGAGAAAACGCATACAGGTCGGTCAGCAGGATTTTCGGATTCACTCGGCTACACTCGCTGCTGTGTCCATTCATTCCTGCCCCTCAAGCCCCGCAGTCCCTGAAAACACACAGGGGGATCTCAAAGCTGTCCTTTTAATGTCACTGTTTACACATGCACCTGCGACAAAGAGAAAACCCATACTTGTAGCAATTTGGTACAAGGAAACTCTGCCTAAGGTTAATTGGGAAATAGAGGAGATATGACACGAAGTAGGAGAGACAACCCAGGGAATACAGACTTAGTAATACATTCTCTCGGCAATGGAGCCATTCCTTATTTTTCTGGGGAGCCCCTCCAACTAATCCAGGTGGTCCCCAGGCCCCACTCTTCCACTCTGCTTCTGCAATAAGCAAAGTAATGATTCATCACTGACAATAAAAAATGTATAAATACTGCCCTATTATCCCCACTTCTCATCCTCATCCTTGCTCTGGCCATGTGAAGACTCAGGACTGGACTGTAATCTACAATTTATACATGCAGGCCAACTTTCTGGCAGCTTCGGTGGGTTACATGAAATATTCCTCTGTGTCCAGTGACACATGGACATTATCTGCTCTCTCCTGCTCGCCATCCTTGTGCTCTCTCTCCCTCTCTATCTGTACTGTGAATGCAAGTGAAAGAAATAATTATCTGTAAACGAGTGGTGCTGCCTACCATGATGTTCAGGAACGGCTTACTAACCATTTCTGATCTGAATGGCAATTACATCGAGAAACAGTAGTACTGAATGCTTCTATCATCTGACTAGTCCTCATTTTCTCAGTGCTATCAGCTTACTTTTCTTGTTTTCTGAGGCTGCCCACAATAACTGGCAAATGTCACTGTCACCCTTCCTCTTGCTCATCACTGTGAATGAAAGCTGACTGTAATAAAACAGCTTGCACATCATTCAAACAAACACTCATAATGCTATTTATTCTAAGGAAGTACAGCTATACAGTATACTATACAACAAATGAATACTAAATGAAAGCTACTACTGTCTGCATAAATTACACGTGCAGCGCAACACATATGGCTGACACGTTACTCAGATATGACGTGGGGCTTCCGACCAATGTAATGTAATAAAAGCGTTGACGTTAGTTGCATCCATAAGCACATTTGTTGGTCTCTGGGTGAATATGTGGCTAATTGACTTTCCAGGTAACTTAGCTAACTCTAATTATGTTTGTTTGGCTAGCACTCAAAAATAGCCCTGGTTTCTAGTATTTTATTTTTATATATTGCATTAGCAAGTGATAAAATAGAGAGACAGTAGTTTTAAATACCATCTCTCCATCACTACGTCTCATATCAAACAGTGAGTGTTTTATATGAACTGTACCTACCCACATCAGTCATGGCAAAGATTTTAAAATACTAAATTCCTGTCAATCCTCTCTGGTCGAGCAACCAGCTTCTGCTGGGGCATGGCAACATCACTTGGACACACTGCAGCACACCATCATACTAGAACCAACAGTAATAATAATTAATGGCATTTTGTTAAGTTTATTTATGATTAGGATTACATTTGCTAATGATTGATTTGGAGGGTGGTGCGTGGTTGCCTGCTGTAGCAAATTTGACTTTTATGGTTAATGTATTGGGGGGGATTTAAGCATATTTTAATATTTGGGGGATGTCCCCCCCCCAAATTATATTATAATGACATTCTTAAATTGTTCACATTTACAGTAAACATTAAGAAAGATGTTTTGCAAAGGCCCTATGCTATACCATCTTTGCCAGATTTCTGAGGATGTATCAAAAACATTTAATCTAGATGTGGCATTACTGATTTTATTATAACCCAATGGCATCCAAGGACAGATTTTGGGAACTGCAGCATTCACAAGTAAAGCAATGTAATAGTGACAGAGAGATGACTCTGCTTACTGTGCAGCTCGGCTGTTAGTGCATGAGCACTCAAGCGACTCGGCTGAGCGGCCAGGGCACGGACGCTGCGACCCCCAGTAATGAGGACCTGAATTTCTTTAAGATTCTGACAACTCATCTACCCTGCCTTCTAACCTTACCA